CCAGCCCAGAAAATATGTTTTTAATATAGAAAACTTGAAAACCAGAATAGAAGTTTCACATAAATTAGTCCTTATTCAATTCTTCTATGAAAAAATAGGTACATATTTAAGGATTAAAACAGAAGATAAAAGATCATGAATTACTTCTACTGGAAAAAATCCTCCATAACTATTCTAGAAAAAGAATTCACCACCTCTCCTTGCCAAAATTAAAATAAAATACAAATCCATGAAGATAGCCAAAAAGAATGTAATGCTAAAACTATAACAATACAATCCTTTTAAATAAGACAAAAAGATTTCTTTATTCTTTAGTTTAAGAAAAGTTAAACCAAAGCATTACAAGCAACAGGAAAGGTGTGTGTTTGTTTAATGACCTTGGTCTTAGTAGGTGGAACTGCTGACATTGTGAGATTCTTTAGTATCCACAGGACTCTAAAGAGAAAAAAATTACCCATCAACTGAAATCCAAACATAAACTGGTTACAACTTTCTAGGTCTCCTCAAAACAATGCAATTATTATGGATGTGTCACAGGGTCATAACAATATTTATTCCAAGTATCCCCTTACAAATGCACTATTTTCCAAATGTCCCAGGTATTGCAATTTTACAGTCAGTTTTCCTACTTCCATGAAACAGAAATTTTAAAGAAATTTCCATTTAGGCTAAGGAGAAAAATAACTCTTGAGTGTTTCATTTTAATATATTAGCTCTCTTTCATAGGCCCCATGCCAATATTGACAGACTTCTGGTTCTTTTGATATCACTTTATTCTGATAACATAGTATGGCAGTTAATGTTCTTTAAAGGAAGTGTAGCTTTCTGTAGTCTATAGTTTTTAAAATACACAGTTAAAAGAACTGGCAATTTGGAGATTTTTATTCTTCAAATACTGTAGATTGTTTTTATTTCCAAGTGTATTAACATCTCTTAGAACACAAAATAAAATCAAAAAGCCTGCCAAAGCAGGGGTTTCATTTTCTTCCATCAGTTCTCCCCCCAATCTAATATGGTACTCAGCAAGAAACAAACAAAAACTCAGTTTTCATTTGAGACAGCCTAACTGGGGTTGAAAAATCTTTCATTCTTCGGAAAACACCTACTGTGTACAAAACACTATATGACAGGTAGTAAAGATAAATGTTTAAACAGAAGAGACTCAATTCCTGTCCCCTTGGAGTTTTTAGTCCAACAAATGGACCACAAATTTACAAAATATTCAGATAACTATACTTCTACAAATGTGATGAACACTATGAAGAAAAAGTAGGAGTGCCATGAAGTATATAAAGACTCGATCTACCTTGTGAAGCGAGGAATGGCTTTCCTGAGGAAGTCATGCTTGCACTGAAGGAAGAGTATTATTAGATAGAGATAGCTTGGCAAAGAGCAAGAAAAAATTATTGTCAGCAGGGAACAAGAGTACATGCAAAGACCTTGAGGTAAAAGGAAACGTGATGTTAAAGGCACTGAAAGAAAGCCAACTGATAGAATTCATGAGAATGTGGTTACAAGGATACCAAGGAGGAGGTTACTGCAGTTGTGAGAGATAATAGCTGAAATTAGGATAGCAATGAAGTTAAGAGAACAGAAGCCAGATTCAAGAGATATTTAGATATATCAGGGCTAGTGTTTTAAAGATGATAGATCTCAATTTCAGCTGTGAGACAAAATCTAAGTTTTGATGTTCCCCAACAAGCCAGATAGTTATTGCAGAGAGATTCTCTAGAGGCAGTCACATCTTACGAGGTTGATTATAGGAAGAGTACCAGAAAGCTATGACCAGGATTACAGTGAAATCAAGCATGTATTTAAAAATAATTATATATTACAGGTCTCACCTCCCAATTGTCAGTTAGATAAAGATTACTAGGATATGCAAGGTTCACATTGGTAACATCACAATATATCATTTATTTTCTCTCCTTTGTGCTTCATGAAAAGAAGATTTCAAGATTTAGGGGGAAGGAGGCTTAAAAATTTATATTATGAGTCAACTAATTCTCAGCATAAATCTATAAAATAACATTTTGTCTTAGGAATATCATAGTATACTTGAGAACATTAGGCAAAAGAAGTCAGCCACCACTTAATTATATCTTAAAAGATACTACACTGTCAGAGAAACAAATGTTGGGGTTTTTTATTTGTTTTGAGCTCTGGGGATTGAACCCATGAGTTCTTTATCACTGAGCTACATCCCGGTTCCTTTTTTTTTTTTCAATTTTGAGACAGGATCTCTCTTGCTAAGTTGCTTAGGGCCTCCCTAAATTGCTGAGGCTGGTCTAGAACTTGTGATCCTCCTGCCTCAGCCTCCACAGTCACTGAGTTAGAGGTATGAATCATCATGCCTGGCACAAATATTGTTTTATGACATAAGTTATCTATGTTTAAGATGTATAGTAAGAGTAGCCACTTCTACACAAGTAGCTTTTTAATCTGGAAAAAAAAAATACAATACATACACTTGTCATTCCTTTCTTTGTTTCAGATAATAAACACATTTCTACGAGTCATCTGTTTTATGTAACCAGTATAAAAAAATTTTCTATTAAATCCAATAATAAGCTTAGTTAATAGGAAGCCTACAGTGCCCCTTTACAAAAGGACTATTTCCTACATACCCCAGTACTGGAATTTTGTAGTTAGTTTCCCTACTTCCATGGACAAGACATTTTAAATAAACAGCTTAGGAAAACAATGTCTAGTGTTTCACTTTAACATACTAGTTCTCTTTCATATGCCTCAGCCTAAACCACACACATGATGGACCTACCTTAAGAAAATACATTTGAAAATCTTTCTTTTTCTTGCTACTTGAAATTCCCATAAAAAATTACCCCGCTTTAGTCCTAATCCTAAGTGGTCCAATGCATATGTATTCTCCCTTGGATACTACCCCACTAATATAGCATGCTTGTAATTTTACAAACTTTCTAACACACCGTGCTAAAAGACAGTAATTAATACTGTAGTACTGAACAGGAATACTAGCACGAAAGAAAAACAACCCTTAGTCAAAATTCTAAACTGAGCACATACAAGAAAACTAAATTACACTTTCCTATTAGCGACCTATAATATAATTAGTAAAATCCAGAAATGTCTTATTTATGCTTCTGAAATCCTTGAATTGATAGTAAAAATGACATATTTTGCACTGAAAGGAAGATATACTGAATATATACTAATAAACTAACTAATCTCTAAACTATCAATAAATCAGTCACAGAACTTCAGGGGAAAAGAGGACCTTGGTGAGTATCTAACACTCTCATTTTACAGATGAAAACAGTAAGAGACAAAGGAGAAATGTAATGAGATCATATATACATGATTTCTGAATAAAACTTAATACATACAGCATGAGAGAACTCAGGTCTGGTTTCCCATATGGTACTTTTCCTAAATTTTCAAATTTAAAAAACTTTTTTTGTTCTAATCTACGTATGAATTGAAGCATACATAATTCCTGAATAGGATTTAATTCCTGATAGTTTAAGGGCAAACAAATTTATATTTTTAAGTGCTATATATCATACTACATAGTTTCACTTCATACACACTATATGACACCAAATTCTCTAGACTCACAAATTAAAATATTAAACTAAGGGCTATTTTTTTTTAATTAAAAAAATAAGTTTAAAAAATGCAGAACAGTCTTAAGAAGTCAAAAAGGAAATATGCAACTCTAAAGGCTAGTCAAAGGGAGAACAAATCCTAGTTTTGCCTCAGTGATATCTGAAAAGTAGAGTGGGAAGATCTAACCTCATGTTCTGTTATCTAGGACCCTCAGGTTTTTCCGCATCAAGATCTCCTACTGCTCCCTCTTCAACCTCCCTCCCCAAATAACTACCCAACCACCTGGATGGAGTTTCCCAAAGCCTCAGGGAAGCTTCATTACTCACAATTCACTCTGCTCCATCCCCAAAAATGAATCATTCTCTATATTCTCTGTGTTTAGGAAATCAGAAATAGAGGTCTCATTTAACTTCCTTTTATGGATGGAAAAGGTGGCAAATGTTTTAAGAAATGACTTTTGAAACCGAGCACAGTGGTACACACCTGTAATCCCAGCAACTGAGGAGGCTGAGGCAGGAGTATATAAAGGAGTATAAGAAGCCCCTAAGTTGCAGACCCAGAAATTTAGGGAGACCTTGTCTCAAAATAAAAAAAATAAAAAGGGCTTAGGATATAGCTCAGTTGTAGTGCCCCTGGGTTCAATCCCCTAGTACTAAAAAAATAAATAAATAAAGGACTTTTGAAAACTTCCAGGAGATTAAGCCTTGGGAGTCACTGGCTTCCCAGAAAAAATATAAAGAGACAGTCAGACAGTACCAAAAATTTTCAGAAACTGAAGTCAACTAAGTCTGAGTACCTCTAAGACAAGCATATCCTGAAAAATCTACCTACTTTAAGAGTAACCATCTTTTATCTCTTTGTAGTAGAGCTCCAATACCAATCCAATCTTCTAATAATGTAAAACTTCCACAGCATGTCTTTCCCCTCTGCCTTGAACAACAAACAGACCATGCCCACAAACTTCCTATTCTAACTAAATATTTTTATTCCTTTAACAATGCTCTTGATTCTGCTTTATATCTTGCGAGAGCTGTTTCTGATTTTTAAAAACTCTTCTTGGATCATCTTAAACTTGGAAAGAAAAATGAAAGCTGGACCAAGATTACATTTGGCATGTGGCTACAGGCATGGACACATGCTGCCAAGTCTGCGGACTTGCTGTCAGCACAGTCAAGAGACCTCTCATCTGAACAGTCCCAGCAAGAACTTTTTGTCTTTCTATATTCTATTCCTTCTCTTCAACAGAAAGCCAGGCTATGATTCCTAGACCTTATTATTTTAAAAGTGCCAAATCCCCAGGGTAGTGGTAAAGAAACCCATTTTGTATTGCTCCGGAAGTGGCATTAGAGGAAAAACACAGGTCAGTAGGACAGGGACTCTGGATTTGTGTTCCCTCCCTCCTAGACTGCTACCTGTTGGCAGTGCTGGTGGTGCTGCTCCCGCTGCTGTGTTTCTGTGCCCGGCTCAACCTCCGTGGGGGCTTTGAATGCTGTAGCCGGGGGTTCGGCATGGAGGGGAATGATGAGGCGTAGCCATGTTCACACTCTAAAGAGAGCAAGAAAAAGAGACTTCAAAATAGACATCCCTAGAAGAACACATCCAGGGTCCCTGCAGCCACAGGCTTTGGAGAGTGGTAAGAGGCAAAGGGTTCCCTTCTCTATTCAGAAGACAACCGCGCTGGCCAGGACACGGTTCCCGCGGCTGACTCGAGCCCCTCCAAGGTGCCCGACGGCCCTCCAACCCAGTCCCGCCTCCTCCCACCTCCTCTCGGAGAGCGCCCCCTGACTAAACACCCGCATATCCCAGACCGTTACCAGCCACCCCACGACGTCCCCTCAGAATTCCCCATTAATTCTCTTCATGCCCCAGGATGTCCTCCACATACCTCAACGACCGAGTCCCTGGGGCCTCCTCCCTCCCGACGCCAAGCTTCCCGCTCCCGGTTTCGGCGTCGCCTCCCACCCCGCACTGCCCAGTCTCGACGCGCGACGCCCACGTCCCTTTTCCCAGTGCTGTCGCCGAGCCCCCGAACCCCCGCCCCGCCCCAAGGCGGTCACGCTCGCTGCGGTCGCCTAGCCAGCTCGCTGGCCACCGGGATTCTGCCCTCGCGCGCAGGGGGTCCCGCATGCCCCACCCTTAGAGTACAAATGCACGCCCACGCGCGCCCCCCCTCTCGCACAGCTGTCTGCCCTCCCACGTGTGCGTCTCTCACATAACTCGCCCGCACCTCTAGGCACACAAATCTCCCCTCGCAGGCGCGCGCACCGCCACTCACGCGCGCCCCCTCACTAACAGACGCGCGCGCCGCTCCTCACACATACGCGCGCACCTCCCCTCACCAGCGGCACCGCACATTCCACGCGGAGCAGAAGCGCGCGGGCTCAGACAGCGGTGCCCAGCCGTTACCTCGCTCCCGGCGCTCCAAAAACTCGGCGGCCTCCAGCAGGCGCTGCACGTTGATCATCCGCACCCGCTCCATGGGCACCGCGGGTGGCGACCCCGCTACTCCGCGCTCCCGTCCCTGGCCAACAGGAGGCGCCGCAGGCGGCTATAGCCCCGCGCCGTCCCGGGACATGTGCGGCGGGCGGGCGGGCCAGCCCGGCCGCGGCTCGGCGCGCTCTCCGCCGCCCCCGCCACCTCCGCCGAGCCCGCCGCGCCCGCCGCGCAGCCTGCAGCCCGCGCGCGGTTTGTTTACCTCTCCGCGCGAGCACGGGGGAGGGGCGGGAGCAGCGCTCTGGCCCGCCTCCTCCCGCCCCTTCCTCTGCCCCCTCGGGAAATGTAGTCCCTCCCCGCCCACTGCACACTGGGAGTCGTAGTTCGCATGCCGCCTCATAGCGCCTGCGCCCTGCGGAATTCCGCGATGGCCGCTGGGAGATGTAGTGTCCTGTGTTTCCTTTTCTCCCTCGAGGGTGAAAAGACTAAGAAGTTACCAGGGCTTTACTTCTGAACGGGAAGGATTTGAACGTGCTATCTACTCCCAAGGCGGCTCGTTTCTCAGCAACTACCCGCGGGGAGTATAAGGAGTATTTCTTATCCAAAACTGCCGCATTCCAGTCCTCTACTACTACTTTCTCCTGTAACTTCTGTGTCTCGCTTTCTTTATCTACAAAATGAGCAAAGTAATACGTTGCAAGAATAGCACACACAGAAACACTTGGGAAGTCATGATCGCTGTTCAAAAATAAGGGATCATTTCATCAGAACCGGAGAGAGAATTTTTTAACATTATCTTTTCCTCAGTCCTTCACTAGTGCTTTTTAAAACACCAGTAAAATCATTCTGGTGCCGCAAGAGAAGGATATAATTCAGTGGATACGTGATTTGGTGCTGGAGTTACACCAAGTTCAGTTGGATCTGGATTCTGCTACTTAAGCTAGCTGTATGAATTCTGCACGCCTCACTTTCTTCTCTTCCCCCCCCCCAATAATTTTTTAGTTGTCAATGGACCTTTATTTTACTTATTTATATGCAGTGCTGAGAATCTAACCCAGTGCTTGCCTAGGCAAGCGCTCTACCACTGAGCTACAAACCTAGCCCCTGCTTTTTTTTTTTTTTTTAATGTATAAAAGATATAATTCCTCCACTTGTCCATTATGTTGAGGTCCTGCTATATGCCTGGCACTGAACCGGACAATGTGTATTGTAGTCACAAAAACAGACATGGACGCTGCTTTCAGCAGCTTTTTAGCAAGCTTGTGGTGAAGATTAAGTGAGATAATTTCAATACTCAGCTCATACTGGGCACTCAAATGGAAGCTATGATGATGACTGTTTCCTCCCAAGCTGAAGGAAGGAAAAAGGTTGAAAAGTAACTGAAAGCAGTGGCTAAAGAAAGGAGACCATATTAAAAGCTCTCATTACCACTCTCTCCAATTTCTTCATCTAACAAATCCTCCAAGTCCACACCACAGTTTCTCAATCTTGGCATTATTGCCATTATTTTCCAGATAATTCTTTCTTGGAGGAGCAAGGAGTTCTGTTCTGTGCATTGTAGGATGATTAGCCACATCCCTGGCTTCTACCCACTAGATGCCAGTAGCACACCACCACCCCTCAGGCATGACACCCCAAAATGCCTCCAGACATTGCCACATATCTCCTGAGACACAAAATCACCCCCAATTCAGAACAACTATCTAGGGAGAGGAAGACAAGAGGATTAGAACTGCAAATGATCTAGGAACATGCTAGGAACTGTGTCAACATATCCATAACTTCTTCCCACTCTGATTATTTAAAACTGCTGGTGGACATACAAAGTAATAGGAAGCTCTTAGAGGAGAATTCCCCTTTCCTTGTGGTCATTCCACTAGCTACTGCAGAAAATATCATCTTGGGATGAACATCTTATCCTCTCAAAAATGTTATGGGCTTCGTGCTTTCATGCTGCATCTTAACACCCTCTCCCTCTTCTCCACCCCCCCCCCCAAGTGAACAGGAGCTCCAATGAGGTCACAAACTGCAAAGTTCTGCTAGCCCATTTAAATGTTATACTTGGCACAACATTTAAGAAGCAGATGTTCCATCAAATTCAGGGAGACCCAAAATGAGAGGTGTTCATAAGCCACAGGAGAATTTTTTTTTTTTTAGGGCTTTGAAAAAGGGATTGTGCTTTTTCAGCTGTTGGTTAGGTCACTTCAGATCTCTGCTTTCCCACTGGGTGTTCGTAAAGATTACCCTACATCCTCAACAAGGGATGTGTCAGGTAGAGGTGGCAAGAAATGGCTTAAAATGCCACTCAGAACATCTGTTGAAGGAAGAAATTATTTGGTTGAAAGTTAGTTTCCACCATTTCCAGAACCACTCTAAAGCGTTAGAGTCTCAATTGTAAAAGGCTACCCCAAGAACTTGAAGGAGGCAGTTTATGACAAATAAAAGTTTACTTTACCCAATGGCAGGTAAACCTGCGTGATATGCAACCAAGAAAAGTAACACAACCTGAAAATATACATGAATTCAAGATGGGTTGAATTCCATAGATCATAGAGCCAGAGCACATTAGTAACAGAAAGTTAAATAGATGTGTGAGGCCTGTGGGTGGCCCTTCACAGTTGAATTTGACAGCCTTTTCTCAAAAGCCATGGCCAAGAGGCAGATGAGGAGATGGATACAGCATGAGAGTCACGCAAAGGTCACCAGCCCATGGTGAAGAGGAGAAGAGGTAGTGGTGATGGTGGGCAGTTGGCAGTGTGAAGGGCTAGTTTATGCACAGACATCTCCAGCATTTTCTAGCAATAACTGAGGAATGAGGAGCCGCTGCTTCTCCCTGTTCAGGATGCCTCCTGAAGGCCTTGCTTGGCCACCAGGACCTCCCACAGCAAAAAGCGCTGGGTATTATCATCAGGAGAGTGATGCTACCCCAAACCATCCTGAGCACCAGCTTCAGTCTGGGGCAACTCAGAGACAGCCATGGCTTTTCTTTTGCTTAGATGAACCCAGCTTGCACTACAAATGTAGATGGGCAAATGGGAAAGATAAGGCTGCCAAAATCTACTGGCATAAAGAATCTGGAATCTTACCGGTAGTCTCTGATTCTGTCTTCTCTTTCCAGTATTTCTCGCTGGGGAAATCTCCTTTGAAAATGGAAAAAGTCTCCCAGAGTCCCCAGGCCCTTTAATAATCACGACCTGGACAGGGACAACCTACCTTCTGAAGAAAGTTGGTGAAGCTCTCAATTGTTTGGGTGCCCTCTCCTCTCCTCCCCCCCACCCCTACACAGTGTACTAAATGCAAATTTCTAAGTGATTATTGCAACTTCATAACACTGAAGACTGATGTGTTATATCTCTTCTGCAGAGAGGAGAGATGGAGAGGGAGGGGGGCCTGAGGTTAAGTTACAAGTCCAAAGTCACCGCGTTGACACTTGGTGCTTCAGACAGTTTCCCCGGATCTGCAAAGTGCTTTAGCCATGTAAGCACTGTTTTCTGCAATTATCTTGAAGGGTGGAGGTTTTCAAATAATCAAGGTTGCCCACAGGGGAGGGTAAGCTCTAAGGTCCTAAATGAGAACAGTAACAGTTAGATATCTTTCCATTCCCCACCCCAAAACAAGGACCACAGCTTCCTCCCCTCCTCTTCCTCCAGGGCCCAGAAACATGAAGAACTGCAGAAAACCTTCCTCTGCCCAGTGAGTCAGCCCTGCCTAACTTCATGCGTAAGCTCTCCGAGTCAGCGGCAGCTCAGAGCTGCGGGTCTGTGTGCAGCCGAGATAAATTTGGGTCTAGAAGGGATGACGTAATGCTAAACCCGAGAGGTGGCTGCCTCCTCCCAGGGCTCTGGTCTCCAGGGCTGCCGGCTGACATCCCAACCTCACGGAAAAGCACCAAGCTACCCAGGTGCCCCAGATGGGAAGAAAGGGAAAGGACGCGGGGAGGGGGCAGCGGCAGGGGGGCAGTGTTAATCTGAGATGGCTGAATCTGGAAGTTTGTTGTTTTTTAACTCCAGTTTTTCTGGTGAGATCAGACCACTGGCAAAAGCTCAAACAGCTGCACTTGACTTCCATCCTGACCCAGCTCTTCTCATAGGAAAGGGCTTCTTCCATTTTAT